ATTGTTCTACAACTCGAAGGTTTATTAGATTTCCTGATTTGCTGTTCTTTTAGACGGCCTTAGCATTGTATGAAAACGTCGAGATCATTCGCGAACGTTAATATATTCATCGTTTTCTGTTACATACGAAATGTGTATTGTCTCAATTTTTTTGATTAATTTGCTATTTTTTTGTTTCTGTGTAGTATTGATTAAAATAAATAGATAAACATAAAGAGATATAATAAACATCAGTATGATAGATTCATAGCTGAAAACCATCTTTCAAACAGCTAATTCATAGACGTTAAAAATTAGCAGACTAGACCTTAAACGTGCGCAAATAAAATATGTTTGTTCAGTTTTAAACTATGCTCAGTTACATCTGATAGATATCTGTAACCTGCTGGGTTACATGAATTTCGGCCCATGAATTTTTTGTCCCGGACTTCGGCCCGGTCCGAAATTCCGGTGATTTTTCGGCCCGAGCCGAAAGTCTGAAGGGAATTTCGGACTGAACCTTCATTTACCTAATTAATTTTATAAATAATTAGTAAACTTCATGGTGCTCAGCACTATGCACTTTCAATAAAACGTGGTGCTCGGCAAGATGACATAGTGCTCAGCAGTACGACATGGTGCTTGACAGTACGACATAGTGCTTAGCTAGACAGCCTGGTACCCAGCACTCTGCATAGTGAGAAGTTTTCTTACTGAAAGAAACTAAAGAAAATTGAAATAAACTAGTTAACTTAAACGGAATCGAAGGTTCGAAAAAATCTAGAAGTGGCGGTATTGGTGGAGAAACATCGGTCGAATAAAACTATATTGGTAGAGCATCGTGCTCTGTCTCACTTCTAATAGAATTGAATGAAAACTGCTAGACATCGTGTTGCACTGCTAAGCACTATATCCTCTTGCCGAGCACTATGCCATTGCTACTCTGATAACGAAATGAAGCTATACTCTTGGAACAAAAACTATTCGAGGGACTGTAGGCTACATTGTGACAAAGGTTCAGTTCTTAGAAATGTAAAGTGGAGGCAAAAAGTTTAGGGACAAACTTGCTTTTGTTCTTTCTCATGAACCCTAGCAGCTACAATAAATCTGAGGATAGGTTCGTACAGCGCTGACTTCGATGTGTGTATATATATTATTCAAAAAATTTCAACTTGACTTTAACCTGTTACAAAAGAAGGTTTTCTCAGAAATCCAGAAGCTCCAAAATCTTACTTTTTTAAAACCAATGCAAACATTTCTTTCATCATTCCGTAAGATAGAGCAAAGTCTTCTCTTCAAAATGAGACCTTCCACAGCTGTTCACAACATTTTTTCATTGAGTTATGACTTTTACACGAAAAGCCCCAAAGTGATAAACAAAGTCTCTCTAAGATATGAATTTTTCAAGATACAGACCTTTTCTATAGATAGTGTACGTGTATAAAATATGCTTGTTTTGAAAAATTCATATCTTAGAGAGGTTTTGTTCACAACATCTGAAATTTTTAATGCAAGCTAGTCTAGTTGAAGTCTTTATGTGGGCAAAGTTTCAGGTCAAAATTCGAAAATAGAATCTTGCTGGAAATCTGAGTTCTACAGGGAAAATTCACGAAAAATTCGATATCTCGCCAGGAACAAGCTAGGAGCACGAACTTTTTCCAGGGCATGCATTACAGTACGAGTGCTCTCTACTCTAAAAGTGTCAGTCTTATACCTTGTAACCCCAAGGAGTAGCGTAGTCGATAGCACTACAAATTTCATTAGAATTTTAGAAAATCAAAAGCTTTGTTTTCTAAAGGCTATTTGAGCTAAAACTTTGACACTATCTCACATATGAACACAACTATATGCGACCACAATCTCAGCTCGTTTGAACTAATACTGACCGAGAAATCGAATTTTTACTCTGAAGTTGATTTTTATGGCTACGACCTTAAACATTCAATATCTCGCCAGGAACAAGCTAGAGGCACGAATCCTTTTCAGGGTATTCATAGTTTATTAGGGTCTACATCATGCACATAGCCTCGTCTCGACTTAAAAGCGAGTGAACACTTGGGAACGTTCCGTCGTCAGTCTTCAATTTCATTTAGTTGCTTGCAAAAATTCTGTTAGAATTTTTCAAAATTTCGGTGACAAATCAACATATTCTTATTTTGTTTACAATGACAAAACGTTGTAAGATACTTCATTTAGTATTAAAGCCAGATTTGAATGTTACGAGAAGAGCATCGTAATCGATAAGGTCGACTGAGTGGATATTGATATAATCGTCATCAAAATAAATGTGGAAAATAAGGTGTTTCACCGACAATATCGTTGTTATAAAAGTTAATACGAATTGAAACAAGTTCTTGCAAATGATCAACAAAATAATAAATAAGACTGACAATACGATTTGTAGATTTGTTTTTCCCGTCCACAATACGCGATGGTTTCCATTCTCGTCCATAATCTGAATCATAGATATTAAATGAAACTTTTTTCAAGTTAGGTAATCGATGCGACAACAATGTATAAAAACGTTGAGCATTTTGTAATGTTAACATTACATCGTTCATACTGAGTGATTTGATCTATTCAAGAAAAACATATTTTCAGTTAAAACGAAAGTCAAATTACAATGAAAATAAACTAATTTTAATGAGATTTCTTTTTACAATGTTATAATTTTTCTGGAAATTCCTACGTAGAATTTCAGTAAAATTCTGAACTTTGTAAATTTTACTGTAGTTTTTAGAATCTCGTTTTGGTTCGAATGAACTATCAGCGAAATGTAAATTATAAAAAATTTGAAGAAAACGATCTCGTGACATGATCGAAGAGATAAATGTATTATGGAATACCATATCCTTACTCCAATAAAGTTTTATATTCGGCAAGTCATTGATACCCATTAGAATAATCAATCCGAGAAACGATTCAATCTCTTTTTTGCTCACATCCTTCCAGTTACTGGTTCTTCTCTGACTATTACTTCGTTTCTTTCCTTTTCCATAAATGTTTGTTTGATCAGTAATCAAATTTAAAATTTCTTCAGTAGAAAAGGTTCGAAAGACTGGAACTGGAGTTAGCTCTTTGAGAGAGATTGAGGTAAAGCCGCCACCCGTGATATGACTTTCATTTATTGAATTCAGCCCCTCTGTATACATATTCGAATCTTCATCAGAAACTTCAAGCTCATCTAAGTTATCGACTGGGTCATCATAATCGAAGTCACTCTCGCTGGTGTCATCACTAGCATATGAATCACAGGACTCGTCGTCGACTTCATTATTTCCATAGAATTCCATTTCTTGAGTTTTAATTGTAAAAATGTACTATTTATTTCTTTATACCAAGTTCGAAAGAGAAATGATATGCTTTCCAAATTCAAGAGCAACGTAAATTCATCAGTGAGAACGGGTGTATATATATATATATACCCAATAGAGAATGAGAAGATTCTCGAAAAACAAAAGATCGGAGAAGAAGAGAGAAATTATGACGTCACTGTACCTTAGCAGCAAGAACAATGGATATTTAAAAAGAATTTAGATGAGAGAAGGAAAGAAAGAAAAGAAAAGTATGTGATGACAAATGTACTTGTTTATGACCTTAATGACCTTACATATTTAATCGTTTAATGTGAACTAAACACTTTTTCTCTATTGATAAATAGGCGGGTCAAAAATGACCCATCTGTCCTCAGAGAGTTAACCAATGCCAATAATTCTAGTACTTCGCAAAAATTGTGTTTATCCTCTTTAATATATTCGTTTATATTTTATTGAAACTTTGAAAAGTGAAGTTAGATATTTTTAATATTCGTTCTGATAATGGCACTGATTGTCATGTCAGTTAACAATATTGACTATGTTCGAGCCAAGCTGTCTTGTTCAGTGCAGAACTACCAAATTTATTAAATCAACCGCTGATAGCTAGTCTGGATTGAGTTTCGCCACTTTTCAGATATTGACAGTTTGTATATAAGTACAATAGAACTTTCCAAACTTGGTTTTTTTCCGATAAATATTTTTTCTAAGCAGTAAGTTCCCAGGATTTTAATAATATTAATTGATCTTTAGTATACATGTTGCATGAGTTCCAACGTTTTCTGAAAGTTTAGTAGAATGTAAATGGATAAAGACTGGCTTCTTTTAATAAAAATGGCTCATACATAAGACATCCTATTGAAGTACACTGATGGTTCAGTTGTTGATACAACGTTACTTTCTTTATCCATATTTTGTTTGTGAAAGTTTATTCATAAGGAAAAAACCATTTCATATCAGCTATAACCTACTACCTTAGAAGTCTGATTAGTTGCAACCTTATATTTGCACAACACCTATTTCTTGTTGTAGAGCATGTTGTTTCAGGTACAGAACCGAACTTTTACTTTTGATTCAAAGTCATCGAAGGTCATTTGTTATTACTGGGACGGATGGACTTTAGACTTGAGCGGACTTGCGTGGAGTTGATCGGACTTTTGGAGACTTTGCGAAGGTACATACACATATATTGTGGATAGTCGTACACACACGCACACACACATATTCGATGACTTGTTGTTTATAGGCCCAACGCGAACGCAAGCAGGGATGAGCTTTGTCTTTGATTTAGACTCATCGAACGTTATTCGGAGATATGAGTCCCGAAAATGAAGAGATCGCGCGAGTGCCACCCGAACTGGCGAACGCCGACCGACGAGAGGTGTGAGCTTTGTTTTTGATTCAAACCATCGAAGGGCATTCGAAGATATATGTTCCCGAAGTCAGGGAACCGTGTGAGCGCAGACAGGACTGACAAAGACCGACTCAAGGGAACGGTGAGCATTGTCTTGCATTCAGAGTCATCGAACGTCGATCTCAAATATAATTGACTGATACTAGAACGAATAGTCAACCATTACGTGACCGGCTGTGAGCCATCGGTGGATAGTCAGCCAACTAGCCAACGTCAGCAGCTATTCTCCTAGTCCTATATATAGGACCATTAGGTTATCAAAAAATTTATTATTTTTTAAAAAAATTACTTTTCATAAGTGATTTGTGCTTCCGATGTAGGTATTTACCCATACATACAAACATATACACTCACGACTGTGAAAGTGCAATGGCTCCGCTTCTGTGTTCAAGAAACAAAACAAAACAAAACAAAAATTAATGAACTCAATTGAAAAATATAAATTACAAGCACCATTCGAAGATATGCCAGCAACAACAAGCTTTTATACACATTAAATTTATATACAGTGATTTTTCAAAAAGGGCTTGCGAAATGCATTTTTTGGGTAGAAGACAGTAAAGCAGCGCATTTGTGCTAGCAATCATTTTTTTGAGGGAATTTTCGTCTGTTTGTTTATACGCGTCTGTCTTTGTCATATACAGTCTTGAAAATCAACAGGAGCATACATAATACACAGGACGATCGCCTTCCAACCTATCAATTATCATCTTACAGACTTCTACGAGTACAGCAAAAGCAACGCTGACTTAAAATAACTCTTTTGCGATGACTTTTTACCAGGTTTTATCAACTTGACTTTTTACGCAGTTAAACACAATAAAATGCTTTTCTTCTGATCTAAAAATACTCACTATGAAAAATCGTGTATTCGCACACAAAAAAGAATAGTCAACAGTACGTTCATCCTCACCTACTTGAACATGAAGTTCCTTATACGGCATGGTATTCTTATTTACTACAAGGCAGCTTATGAGGTGGTCTTACGGATTTCTGTTTTCAACCTTTGTCATCGTAATCAAAGAGGGTTTCAGGTATTCATTGAATACGAGGTCTCGGGCACAGAGCCTACATCACAGCATTCTGACTGATATTACTCACTGAAGTAGGATGCTGTCAATGCAGTTTCAGTTATATCTTCCTAAAGATACACAGTAATACTAACTTGTCTAAAGTTATTACATGACCTTTAAAACAGAGACTTCAACACTGCACTTTTGAAGCAGGTGGCAAACAACAGAACTACAAATTGTGCCATCCTTTGTCGAAATCATGTGTTACATCGCGTGAATTACACTTTAGCTAAATTAACTTTCATCTCCATAGGTGATGAGTTCAACAATTAGTAATTAAAGTCGTGTCGTATTCATATTTGTTCTGGTTTAAGATATTTAGTGAGCGTACAAAATTGAGTTTAGGAGATATAGACATTTTATTTAACATTTTTAGGTTATCAAACAAACTGGTTCTAGAGAAGATTGTACTCCAATGATGGTAATAGCGGATAACATCATATACAGAATAAAGTTGGTTTCACGGTATGGTCTGCTGTCATCTATAAAAGTAACATGCAAACAAATAACGGTACGATTAGTTTTTTATTATTTAATCAAACATGTGTGATTGAAACACATCTTTTTGAAGTATAAACATAAATACATCCTGGCGTTTTTTCACAACGTATACCCCATTCTTTACGTTCGTTTAACCAAAATGGTGTTTGAAATGATTCAACAAATTGTTCACCAAATAGTGGAATATTTCTTGGTTGATTCCGCTTCCATACCATGAAACCACAACTAAAGGTTTTTAAATGTAATAATTTACAAAGTACATTTTTCCACCAATGACCATCCCGAAAACTAGCACAAAAGCTTAACAATTCAAAATAAGCTAATTTTGGCAAGTGCATCAATAATTCTTTTAAAGGTTCATATATTTGAACATCTACATTATAATCCTTTATCATCAATTTAAAATAAACTAAATTTGCCACTGTTAATTCTGAAATATTGTTATTGTTCATCCCTTTCGCATCTTCAGTTGTATACACATTTACTATTAAACGTTTTAATTTTGGCATACATTGCAAAAATATATAGAGATCATCAAAATAGTTTAGACAAATTGTTAAACATTCAATTGAACTATTGAATAATAATGGCATTGAAAAATATAAATGATTTTTCGAATATAACTTTAATAAACAAATTTTCAACGTTGAAATCTGTAATATTCGATTGTAATCATACGATTCATCAGTTTGAATCAATGTTTCAACATGTAACTGTGTTAAATGCTTCAATCTCAGTAATTCTGATGCAATACGATCTAAATGTTCATTAGTTATTCCAAGTAATTTTAATGTTCGTAAATTATTGAACTGTATTAATGTGAACATGGAATAGAAAACAGCTATAACACCGCTAGATAGAGTGAACGAATAGACTTGTTGCCGTTCAAATGTATCCAAAATTGATGCAAAACGATCATTACTCTTATCGCTATAATTAAAACAAAGACGCATTTGAGATAAAACTGAATTTATCCTTTTATTGAGATCATAAAATCCATAATATATATTAATTGCATCAAGATATTTAAATATTTCCAAATACATTTCAAAAGGAATTTCTTCTAATAACATTTTGTACGCTTATCTGAAAACAAAAAAGAAGGCACAATTCCTTTGGCATAATACATTTTTATGCAAGAACGTCATCTGGACATATTAGAAAAGATTAAATAAAATTCCTCCTTAAAATATTAAATGACGAAACAACAACTGAAGAACTATGTCAGCAAGCCGAGATGTTGAGTAAAAATGGATTAGAAGAAAGCGAGAGAAACTCATCGTATGTGTAGCATCAGACCAGCGTAAATACAAGCTGCTCTGCTTCAACATATACTACAGAATCTCACTTGATTTATAATTCTAGTCTAAATTAAATGGCGATAAGTTTGGTAGAAAGTAGCGAAGTAGCTTCTCAAATTTTTTGT